GTAGGCAGCATGTTTAGTAAACAGAGTGGCTGAAAGACAAGTAGATTTCCACATCCTCCTGCCAGAATCTTAAAAGTTACAAAGAAGCCTTAACTGGGCTCAGTCACTCACACCATCCAGATGGTCAACAAAGCATTGCTTTCTCAAGGCTGTGTCCTTGAAAATGGCTCTGGCTCTGGGAACAGTGGGCAGAACATATATTCCAAGGGCAGGGGAGGTGGTGAAGAGTATTCAACTGTCCAGGTCCAGCTCGAGGGTCAGCTAGTGGGCAGGTTCTCTTGGTGACCTCCTCCAACGACGAGCTGTCAAAATTATCCCCTTTTACTTTCTCTACTTGAAGTCATTCTTCCCCTAGTTTGTCTTCCTGTGCTTCCATCCATCACCTAAAATTGCTTTTGCCAATATCACCAGTGACTTCCATGTTCACAAATTCTTGAAAGTGTTATTTGTACAAATGAGTCTTAAGAGCCCAGCCTGCAAAAAATTATTGATTTGCCCTGTGAATTTGCTCTTTAATGCTTATAAAGTATGCAATTTCAATTATCTTAATTGATAATTTGTTGCCCTGGGAGTAATATTTACATTGATATCTCTGTTTGCTTAAAAGTATACATATTTTGTTAGGTGATAATAAGAGCTGGGTAATTTCCCCTTCTGCCTTTATGCACAAGTTTATAATGTCATGATCTTGTTGACTGCTCATTCAAACCAAGAGTTGAGAGTCCATTTCGTTTACAAGTCTGTATTAATTTCTAGTTGCTGTTCAGCTATACCCCTTTACAATATGTTTTGTGGTTGCAAAAGGGATTATAATATACATCTTCCATTTCTCCTACTTGATATAAAATATAGAAGCCTTGCAACTGTATAGGTCCAACCATCCTTTATGCTATAGTCATCATACATATTATCTATATATATAAAAAGCCAGCGACCGTACGCCATCATGACCAGAACGACCAGAGACCAGAACACTGTGGCCCCTTGCCCAGGCCTGCCCCACCCCCACCAGGGACCCCCACCCTGATTGGGGTTGTGGCCAGCCTGCAAACCTCTCTCACCCCTTGCACAGGCCAGCCCCGCCCCCCAGCAGGGACCCCCCACCCAGATCCGGAGGCCCCCCTCAGGGCAGGCCAGCTGGTCCCCACCTGTGCTCTAGGCCTCTATTCCTATGTAATAAAAGGGTAATATGAAAATGGACCCTAAAGGCAGAATGACCAGAACAACCACTGGACCAGTCACTATGAGGTGCACTTACCACCTTTTGGTCCCTTTCCCCAGCCGGCAGGCTCTGATCGCCTGATGGTGAACAGGGAACTGGGGGTGGGTGGCAGGGCATGCAGGCGGTGCCAAGCCAAGACCCCCGCCCCTCCGGTTGCCCCACACACAGAGAGTGACCTGTGCTGGGGGCGGGGCTGGCTGTGGGCAGCTGGGGAAGATGACTCTGATCACAGGCCAGGCCTAGGGACCATACCCATGCATGAATTTCGTGTGCTGGGCCTTTAGTATATACATTTAAAAATCACAAGACAATGCTATAACTTTTGCTTTATTTTTTTATGTTTTTAAATAAGAGAAAAAACAACTTTTAAATATTTACCCAGAGATTACTATTTCTATTGCTCTTCGACCATCCCTGTAGATCTGAGTTTCTAACTGGTATTATTTACCTTCCACATAAAGAACTTACCTTAGCTTTATTTAAATCCTCACCCCAGGAGTGAGGATTTTTTCTCCATTGATTTTTAGAGAGAGTGGAAGGGAGGAGAGAGAGGGAGAGAGAGAGAAAAACACATCCATGTGAGAGAGACACACTGATTGGAAACCTGCAACCAAGGTACATGCCCTTGACTGGGGAATGGAACTCTCGACCCTTCAGTCCATGGGCTGAACCGACTGGGGCTACTTTAGCAATTCTTGAAGTGCAGGTCTGATGCAACACATTCTTTTAGTTTTGGTTTCGTTGGGGTTTTCTTTGCCTGAAAATATCTATCTTTTCTGCATTTTTAAAGAATATTTTCACTGGGTTTAGAAATCTAGGTTGACAATTTCTTTTCCTCTCAGTTCTTCCAAGATACAGGCAGTCCTCGGGTTACGTCAGACTTGACGTACATCATTTCGTGGTTCCGTCACCATCTCCCATTTATTTGTAAAAAAAAAAAAAGTTCTGTCATTTCGACATACGTATATATGTGCTTTGTGTTTTTTATTATTTATTTACCACAAGTAAAGGTCAGGAATTGTTATCTTTCTTTTAAATTTTTTTTTACTGTTTCACTTCATTACTGCTGTGTATGTGCTCCATGTGAGTGACATAGGTGCTTATGTAGGTGGGTTCCGACTTACGGCGAAAATGGCGTTAACATTGCGCCGTAGGAACAGATCTCCGATGTAAGCCAAGGACCTACTGGATAGTTACACTGTCTCTGGCATTATGGTTTCTAATGCTCTCCTGTATGCAACAAGTTGTTTTGATCTGTTTTTCAGCAGTTTGATGCTGATGTCCCTAGGTGTAGTTTCATTGCATTTATCCTGCATGGAATTTACTAAGCTTCACAGAATTTCTGCACTTTATTTTATTATTATTATTAATTACTTGCCTTTATAATAGGAAGTTTTATTGTTAATTGTTTTCCTTACTAGTTTCAGAAAGAAGAACAGATTAGCTGTTGGCAAAATCTAATAAAGCAAGTGTTCTGATTGCTAAGGATTTAATTTGAATGCTTTTAATACTTAGCCATCTAACACTTCAAATACAGTCCAGAATAAAATGCATCGACCCCCTCCCTTTCATACCCCACCTACATCACTTCAATATGGAAATATCTTCATTAAATATGATTCCTAGAGGAACGAGTTCTCTGGAGAGTATAGCCATGAGGACAGTGCACAAAAAGAAAAACTCAAAATAAAACTCTGTATGATGACTTACTAGTTTAAGGAAACAAAAACCTTCCAATATATTAAGAAATCAATCCAGTTACAGATGCACTAATAGGTCTATGAAAAGAGGTTCTGGTATAGTAACTGAAAATGGCCAGCTACTTACAAGATACACAAGCAGGCACAGTGCGCCTCGCCTAGCACTGGCCCGCAGAAGCCAAACGTGTTCTCTTCACTCTAGGTCTCTTGTTCCTGTTTCTTTATAGTCAAGTAATTTTGAATAGATGCTGCACGTCATGAATGAAAGATTGTAGACACTCTGGATCCTGTTATAATAGGAACAGTGTTAACTTCTTTGTTATTTTAGCAGGTTCATAACTTGGTTGGCATCAAATGCAAAGTCTCCCATCCACTCCACACCCCCATAGTAGGTTGCAACTCAATTCTCACTTCAGTTCCTTTAGCCTTAGCTGAGCTACTTGGGGGTCAGCTAAATATTTGGGCAGTTTATGCATAGAATTTGGAGCAACTTCTCTGTGCCTCTCTCCTTTCTCAAATTCCAACCCCCATTTTCCAGCAGGGATTGTTATCCCAAATTCTGTCCTCTGGTCATTTAGGGCAGTAACACTTTGTATGTTTCAATAGTTTTACTTGTCTGGCACAACAGTGATTGTGACCTTCCCTCAGACTAAACTTGTGAGCTGAGAATTCACCAGTGATAGCCTTATCTTCCACAAGTTGACTCCCTTCTAGTATCTGCCATCTCTGGTCACTCTCCAGAACCTCCAGGTAGTTATTTTTTATATTTTTCTCCAGAGTTTATAATTGTTCTCTGTGGTAGTGTTGTTCAGATAGGAGCCACTCAACCATACTGGAAATGGCAATCCTTATTTGTCTCATAAAAATGAGCAAATGCAAATGGTCTCATCTAAGAGATGGTAAAGCTGAGGCCAGGAGAGGAAACCAGGTCATGGTTATGTTTCAGAATGGGCAGTGAGAGCAGTCAGCTATGAAAAAAAGTTAGGTTGGGGATTTTTAGAGTAAAATTCTGAAAGAGACCTATTCCTGTGCAAAGCCTTTCTTTTGTGCATTACTAAATTGGGGATAATATTAGTATACTAGAGGCCCAGTGCACGAATTCATGCACGGGTGGTGTCGGGCCGGCCAGGGCCCCAATCGGGGCGGATTGGGGCCGGGTCTGTTGGGAGGAGGAGATGGTGGAAGATGTGCCGGCAGACCCCACCCCCTGACCAGGTGGTTCACTGGCCGCAGTGGGCGTTATAGCGACCAGTCATTCTAGTCGTTATGACGTTGTGGTCGCTGGCTTTTCATATATATAGATAGTTAATGTTCGTTACATACTTACTAGGTCTAATGCTGAGCCTCTTAAATGCATTCATTATCTTTTGTAATCCTCAGGAAAACTAGATGAGATTGGATTACTTTTCATAGGAGATTTTGCAGAGGAGGAAACTGAAGTTTAGTGAGGTTAAACCCAAGATGACACAGAATTGTTGGCATGACTAATCAATAATAATAATAATGACAATGAAAATTAAAATAATGGCTCATATTTATCATATTGTAGATAATGAGGTGTTTTTTAAACACTAGATGTACGTACTATTATTATCACTCCATCCAACTCTATGAGGTAAATACTATTATTATCACTTTACCTTTTCAGATGGAAGAATGGAGGCTGAATCACTTGCTCAAGGGCACATGATTAGCAAACAGTGGACCTAGGATTTGAACTCAGGCTCCAAACCCAATTGCTTAACCTTTGTGCCCCAATTGCCTTCCTGTACTGATAAAACATCTGAAAGGCCTTTCACCTTAGAGGTCCTGGAAGAGTCGGGCTCCCTTTCTTTCAGTAAATACCCAGCTGGAATTTCAGTAAATACCAGATCGAACGGAACTCACAGCTGTGGGCTTCTCTGCACGTGCACACTGGTGGTACCTGCAAATGCCAGTGGGTCTGAATCCACCCACGAACCCATTTCCAACCATTCACCAGGAACCCCAGCCTACAATGCAAATGAGGAACTCTTCCTAAGCAGGAATAAATTGCAATAAACTGCAGAGGTTCCCTCATCCTGTTTTTCACTTCATGTTTTGGATGCTGCAGGCTGGGTGAGCAGAAATCCCAGGCTCTGGCTATGGGCAGCTGCCCTCCTCCGAGTGCTGCCATGAACCACTTCCAGACCATCCTAACTCAGGTCCGGATGCTGCTCTCCAGCCATCAGCGAAGCCAGGTGCAGGCCCTCCTGGACAACCTGCTGGAGGAGCAGCTTCTCTCCAGGGAGTACCACTGCGCCTTGCTCCAGGAGCCTGATGGCGAGGCTCTGGCCAGGAAGATCTCGTTGACCCTGCTGCAGAAAGGAGACCCAGAATTGGCCCTCTTGGGATGGGCCTGGAGTGGGCTGCAGGGTCCAGTGGTTGAGAGGGACCCCGGCTACAAGGACCACGGTGGTAAGTTGACATCCCCTTTGCTCCAGGAGCAACGACTGGCCCTTGGCACCTCAAGGATTCCCCTTCCTCTCTGAAAGGAAAGTCAATGTGATCATTCCTGTTCCAAGATGGGAAGGCAGACTTAGACAGGAATCAGACCTTCTGGTGGAGCTGGCAGGAGCCACAAGGGCTTGGAGAACTAACTCAGTCTGTGATGCTGGGTGTGCTGGAGGCATGCAGCATGCTTCCCACTCTGCTGAAGAGGAAATCCTCCTGCCCTGGCTGGTGTGGCTCGGTGGTTGGAGTGTCGGCCTTTGCACCAAAGGGTTGCAGGTTTGATCCTTGGCCTTGAAGGGGCACGTGTGGGAAGCATCCGATCCATGTGTCTCTCTCACATGGATATTTCCCGCTCTTTCCCCTTTCCTCCCTTCCTCCCTCTCTTCCATTCTCTCTAAAAAAAAATCAATGGAGGATTAATAACAAAAAAAAAATCCTCCTGGAGGCATGCAGCCAAATGCCCACTTGGTTTACTCTCTGAGCTGCCTTGATGTGTCAGGCACTGTACTGGGCACTTGGGAGCCACAGATAGACAGATCCGGGCTTGCATGCAAGGGGCTCACAGTCCAGTGGGGAAGACAAATGCAGGCACAATCAGAGTGGTTCAGTAATAGAGAAATGAGATGCCGCAGACAGGAGGGACCAAAGGGCTGGAGAGCAGAGGATGCTGTGTGTGCACATGTATACATGCACACACGTGAGTGTGCTTGTGTGCATGTGTGTGGGCATGTATGTGCATGTAATGCATGTCTATGTATGTGCATCTGTGTCACGGATAGAGACAAAAACCAAAGGACAGAGAGGGAGAGAGAAAGGAAGGGAGAGACAGAATATAAAGGGACAGAGACAGACAGAGATGGAGAGGAGGGAGAGAGGAAGGAAGGGAGAAAGGGGAAAAGGGAGAGAGTGGGTGGGGGAGAAAGAGCAGTAGAAAGAGGGTGAGGGAGAAAGAGAGAGAGAGAGACAGGCAATCGGAAGTAGATCAGAGGGAGAGAGTGTCTGATTTTTAAAGAGCAGTGACACCTGATGCATCTTAAATCAGACAAAACAAGTCCACACAATACCGTGTCGCTCACAGCCTCAGCTCCTCAAACACGTTAGGTCTTCCTTCCCCAGAGTTACAAAGAGGTTCTCTTTGTTGCAAACAACCTTCTTCCCAAAGACATGTGTTTGTCCTTTCTCCTCTATGCAAATCTGTGCCTTTCCAATTTTATGAATTGGCATCTCCAAATTCCTAGTCCTTCTTGGTCCTTTTATGGCTTCAGAGTAACTTGAAAACCTGGGATAATAGCAGTGATTCACTTTGGGAGAGTATTTACTGTGCGCCAGGTACAGCCTACCAGTGGTCGGCAAACTCCTTAGTCAACAGAGCCAAATATCAACCGTACAACGATTGACATTTCTTTTGAGAGCCAAATTTTTAAAACTTAAACTATATAGGTAGGTACATTGTTATTAACTTAACTAGGGTGCTCCTAAGGCTTAGGAAGAGCCACACTCAAGGGGCCAAAGAGCCGCATGTGGCTCGAGAGCCGCAGTTTGCCGACCACTGGCCTAGCCCATTCAAGCACCTCTTTAGATGGTTCTCACATCCATCCTAAGCCCTTTGCTGGTCTCCAGCCTTATTCTACACTTAAAGAAGAAAGCAGACACTGCTCAGAGGTGACACAACTCTGGGTCCCCAGGTGGGAAGTGGTAGAGGCAGGGTTTGAAGACAGATAAGCTTTTATCCTCAACCTGGCCTTGAGGGAGATAAGCCTTTTGATGGTCTTGCCTTTAGGCATCAGGGTGGTGTAGTAATTTCTCCAACTCTTCTGCCGAGACATAAGTTTCCATGGTTTTGGCTCTCTGTGGTTAAATTCGCACCCAGGTGGTCTCCTGGACACATCTTTCACATCTGAGTGTTCTCCTTGACTTCTTACCTGGGTGCCCTCACCCACTTGGTGGTCTGGGAGGAGGGCACTGGGCAGTGCAGAGGCCAACCTTGGGGGGAAGTCGAAGCCTTCCTCTCTTCTAGACAAGCCCCCCCCCCCCCCGCATGTTCTTTCAGACACCTCCGCTCCTCCCTCCTCCTCTCTCTGGTTCCTGTTATTAACTGTGTTTCCTCCCTGGGGATGTAATATATTTATTTCTGACCCCACATGACTCTAGAAAGAGAACTGAGCTCAGGGTCCCATGGTCTTCAGGAAGCTGGGAGACAGAGAATGGCACTCTCTTTTCTGCTGTTTCTGTTGTCAACATAAGAAACATTCAAACCTGCAAAGAATTTTTATGAGTGTGAGCCAAACTGTCGACAATGGCCAGGAAGCAAAATCTCAATGTAGTGAGATAATGCTCTGGAAGAAAGGGCGGTTTTTCACCTATTTTTATAAATTACCATCAACGGAGGAGACATAAGTGGGTTGCATGAAATCCATTGGTGATAGATTAGGGAGGTTGGAGAATGCAAAGGGGGGAGGGCAGGGAACTTCTGGGATTGGATAAAAAGTAAAATGATAGGCACACGCTTCTTTTACGGAGGTGGAGACAGGATAGTTAACAGTCAACAATTAATATGGTAACAGTAACAGTGAGGGAATTTGTAATCTCTGCCCTCGTGCTTTGGTTGTGTCCTGAGGGGTCCCGAAAAAGAGAAGTTACAAGTTACCCTGATATTGTAAAAACACAATAGGCTCAGTCACGATCAAAGTTGATCTTTTACAGGGAAGACACCGGACTAGGACATACCTACCCATTATAAACTGCCTTTTAATTTTAAAAAACTTTAATTTTAGACCATCCTTTGTGGTTACTTTAGGCCTGAGTTTGCAAGGCTGTCATGCAGGCCTTCCCTGAGCTGGTCAGGTTAGCATGTGGCCCCTTTTTGTCCACACTGTCCCCAGGCCAGCTGTCCTCAGGTCTGGAGGCTTGACCCAGGCCTAGGCAGGTGTGCGGCTGTGGTACACGGGAGAGGGAGCAGCCTTCAGGGGGGCGAAGGACGGGAAAGAGTGTGATTTATAAATTAATTGCACTCATTGTAGTTTCACTGAGGGTTCAGAAAAGGCAATCATCATGTGAAGTTTTGTAACTCTCTCCACAACCCCATAACAATCTTCACCCTCCACTGCTCTAAACCCAGCACTGGCCCCGATGTCACTCAGAGGAGAAGCTAAATTTGAACAATGGCCTACAAGACCCTTCTGGTTCCCATCACCTCTCTGCACTCATCACCTACCTGTGCTTGCTCATACTCCAGCCATGCTGGCCCCCAGCTGTTCCTGGGACAGTCCTGGCACCTGCAGTTCCCTCCACCTGAACACTCTTCTCCAGATATCCACTTGGCCAACCACCTCACGTCCTTCAGCTCTTTGCTCAGATGTCACCTTCTCAGCCAGGCCCGCCCTGACCATCTCATCTAGAATTGCAACTGCCCCTCTACACCCTGAGCCCCTCCCTTGACTGACATTTCACCTTCTATGTATTTTACTTTTGTGTGCTTGTTGTTTACTCTCTAGTTCTCCCATCTAAACTAATAAAAGACAAACATGCAAATTGACCATACCTTCGCTATGCCCTAGGCCATGCCCACCAGCCAATCAGAGAAACTATATGCAAATTAACCCAACCAAGATGGCGGCCAGCAGCCATGGAGCTGGAGCAAGCAGGAGGCTTGGTTGCTCGGGCGATGGAGGAAGCCAAGCTTCCTGCCCACCCTGAGCCAGCTGTGGCCTCCGCTCATGGCAACAAAGTTTCAATTATAGAAGACAAATAAATCCCAGATACCTGCTTCCAGCCAGCCTCCACTGAGAGCTTGGGTGGCTGGGGGCCGTAGCCAGCCTGCAAATGGCCCTCAGCTCCTCACCCAGACTGGCCAGGCACCCCAGCAGGACCCCCAACCCTGAAGGGGCTGTGGCCAGCCTGCAAACAGCCATCAGCCCCTCACCCAGGCTGGCCAGGCACCCCTATATAATAAAAGGGTAATATGCAAATTGACCTTAACAGCAGAATGACTGGGAATGACTAGTCACACACTGACCACCAGGGGCAGATGCTCAGTGCAGGAGCTGCCCTCTGGTGGTCAGTGCACTCCCACAGAGGGAGCTCTGCTCAGCCACAAGCCAGGCTGACAGTTGCCAGTACAGTGGTGGTGGTGGGAGCCTCTTCTGCCTCCTCAGCAGCACTAAGGATGTCCGACTGCAGCTTAGGCCTGCTCCCCGCTGGCAGGTGGACATCCCCCAAGGGCTCCCAGGCTGCCAGCGGGATGTCTGAATGCCAGCTTAGGCCCCATCCCACAGGAGCAGGCCTAAGCCAGCAGGTGATCATCCCCCGAGGGGTCCCAGACTGCGAGAGGACACAGGCCTGGCTGAGGGACCCCCCCCCCAAGTGCACAAATTTTTGTGCACTGGGCCTCTAGTTAGAAAATAAGTTCCATGTGGTCAGGGATCGATGTTTTGATCATAGATACATCCCAACTGCCTAGCATGGAGCCTGGCATAGGATAGGTGTGCAGTATGTATTTGTTGAATGTTGGGTGGATGGATGGATGGATGGATGGATGGATGGATGGCTGAGTGGGTGGGTAGGGTGGATGGAGAGATGGATGGATGGGTGGGTAGATGAGTGGGTGGGTGAAGGGATGAGTGGGTGGGTGGGTAGGTGGATGGGTGATAAATAGGTGGATGGATGGGTGGATGAGTGATGGGTGGGTGGGTGGGTAGATGGGGAATGGATGGGTAGATAGGTGGACAGTTCACTTACTGCCATCATTCTCATTTTACAAATGAGTAAACTGAAGCACAAAGAGCTTAAGCAATTTGCCTCAGGTCATGGCCTGCAGAGGGAAACTATTGGATCTCTCAAGTCCAGATCTATTGCTGCACTTTCTGCTTGGCTGCCTCTTTTGAACAACTCAAAGGAATACCATAAAAGTACCAAAAACCGGTTAACCAACTTCAAAATGAAACCAGCCTGATGATTCAGAAGGC